CCACTACCCCCCCTGTAGCAAACCAGGACACCTATAAATATGGAGGTCAAGTCCTAAAACAATGTGAAAATCAAAAAAGTATTAGGCCTGGCAATTGAACGGCAGCAGACTCACCAAAATCCAACCAATTTCACCCCATTTCAATTCAATTTCAATCAAATTCAAATAAGTTTCACAAAATTTAAAATCAAGTTTGCCTAAAATGCTATCAATTTCAAACAAACTCACTCAATTTCACCTTAATTGATAATTAATAGCAATTGAAACAAAAAGTATTAAATTTAACTGCATAAAATTAAAGACCTTGAAGTTGAGGGTTAGGGAGGGAGGGTTACTGGTTGTTGGCAAGGGCGAGAGAAAATGGGGTGTCACCTTCGACCTATGCTAGTGACGAGGGGAAAAGGTGGCGAGAACATCTAAACGGCGGCGACGGAGGCTAGGCGAGGGCTGGAGAGGGGGCTGCTGGGCGTCGGTTGTTGGAGAGGTGAGGCTGCTAGAAAAGGGTGGCGACGGTGGTGAGGGGAGGCTAGTCGACGGCGACGGGGTCCGGCAGAGATGGTGGCGGCGTTTCACTCGTCTCCCTCTTTCTCTTCTCTCGTTCTTTGGTAGTGGATTTTTCAAGTCGTCTTTTTTTGGGTTGCACGTAGTATCAGAATTTGAGGGTAGAGTTCTTTAGATAACTCAACTCTGCAACAAACGCAAGTCAGTGGCAGTTTTTCCGTTGTAGATCTGCCACAGGCTAATAATTTCCGTAGCAGATATTTCAAGTTTTAATACAATCATAAATCTGTTGCAGTTCTGTGGCAGATCTGCAAGGGAATAATGTCCGTAGCAGAACTCTGTTGCAGATTTGTCAGATTCTTGTAGTGTATGAGTGACAATAGTCCCTCATGTTATTCTATGACATGGGCTTCGATTAGAAAATTTACGGTGCTTCGTTCGAAAAATTGATGGTTCGTATCTCTTGTAACCCCTCCGACCTCCTTTAATTGTACTCCATAAAATTTAGTTGACTTTGGAGTTAAATTTTGACTTCAAAGCTAAGTTAACTAAATTTTGGTGGGTGCAATTAGAGAGGTATGGTAAGAGGGGTTCTGTTTGGGTCGGACGTGGGTATAGGGGTTTAGCCAGTTTACCGGGGGGTTAGGGGATAATAACCATCAATTTTTGAAACGGAGTACTAAAATTTTGAAACGGAGTATTATAGGTATCCCGGGTCATCATATGATAATGAAGTCAAATTCCACTTGAACTGTATTATAATTAATTAATTAATTAATTATTAATAATATATACTTACTAAAACACCATTGTATCTTAATTATTTTATACTCTGTATAAAATATAGACTATATTTTTTCTTTGATCGATTTTCTCTTTCTTTGATTCATTCGCTTATATATTCTTATTGATGGATTATACATGGATATTATAAAATCATTGATATTGTTATCTGATCCGGAACATAATTAAAATTATAAACATGGGACAGTGAAAAAGTATGGATATTTTTACTGATCGAGGATATTAAAGGCTAATGTAGCGGATATTTATAATTGCGACAATATCTTTTTTTCAACCAACAATATCTTGGTAATGGACATGTAGACATTAACAACAATGTTTAATATTAATCCTATTGTCCCTAAAAAAATTGTCACAATTTGAATTTATTTGGTCAAACTGTGGCATCCTTTGATCATAAATTATGGAAAAAGTATATTTAGTTATAATACAAAATATAGTAAAATTGGGTTTATTTTAAAATATAGCTTTAAAATATCGAATTTTTATAATATTTAATTATTTATAACTATATTTAATTTGTAATCAAAAGGTACTATAATTTGCCAAAAAATATCAAACACTGACAATTATTGGGGATGAAGGAAATACTCCGTATTAAAGTAAAACCACAACAGCCATTGCACAATGGACATTAACGGAGAGGCGGCGGGACACTGATGTCGGTATTTTGTGATCGAAGGTTCCCGAAGAACAATGAGACGTAATGGGAGTGTAAATATAAATTGTTATAATGGGATTTTAATACACTTGACTTAATAATTACTTTCTCCGTCCCCTGTATTTGTCCACATTTGACTTTGGAACTGTTCATCTAAGCACTTTGACTTATCAAATTCTCTCAATGTGTAAGTCTAAATATAGTCATGTGTGATCTTGTTTGACTTGTCTTAACAAATACGGAGTACATTATTAATATATAATTTTTATAATTTTTTAATATACAAATTACAAGATAAAATGAATTAAAAAAGTGCATTGGATGGTGTGTAAAAATGAAAGTGGACAAATACAGGGTGACGGAGGGAGTAATTAATTAATTAGATGTTAGGAATGGAAATTAAAACTTATGGAAATTAAATATGTTTTAGTGTCATTTATTTAAATTTTCTTTTAAATAGTGTAAAATTTGAGAGATATTACAGCAAAATTGAAGATACACTCCTTTAAGAAAATTGAAGGCCGAAGACATGTATTTTGAAGATAAGCAATGCTAGGGGTACACTTTTTCCACCAAATGGACACTATCTCCCTTCTCTATCACCTATTTTTATTTAATTTTTATTAATTTACTCCATATTTTTTTTTGAATTTTTTTCCTATTTATATAGACAATAAGGAAGTGAGGGACAAATAGAATAATGTACTCTTGGCATTTGTTATACCCACTATACAAATTTTCTATTCGAAAATGCAACAAAGTCAATAAGGAAAGGCCGATGACATATACTCCGTATTTTGCTTGCACCGAATCCGAATACCAAAACAGAAGAAACGTTCAACAAACACCATAGCAAAATCTTTATTTTCATTCTCCACCGGAGCTTTTTTCTATGCTAGCCGGTGCATAAAATATCTGGGTCAGCGGCCAAGTCAAAATCCACTAGGTGAGCCATTTTTTCCCTTGTCGCTTCTTGAATATTTTCGACGCAATTGGATCGGAGAGTTGAACTGTTGAAGTTCCTTTACACACCCTTTGCTTGATTTGCAGTGAGCTTCATTTTTTTCCCATAAAAGAAGAATCTTGATGAAAAATTGATCCTTGCAATGCACACGAGGTGCTCGTTATTATGCTTGTTTGTTTTGTTTTCCATTTTAATGATCAAGGTCTTGTTTTGTATTACAGAGGCTTCGAATTTCAGGGTTTCCAGTTCTATTCAAGGTTAGATGTTGATTGGTAGAGGAAGAAGTTGAGCTGAATCAAATGGGTTGTCTTTGCTGTTTCGATTCGGTGAGTTGTTTTATTGGTAGCAATTATGTTTGGGATCCATTTGACTTTCTCCCTCAGCTATTTGTGTAGTTTTTAATGGACTTTTTGGGCTTAAAGTGTTGAGGCCTTGCTCTGGTCATAAGCTCTAGGTGTTTGCAGAGAGTTTATCGAGCATGTTGGCGTGTTCCATATGAGTGGACAAGATGCCGCCTACGTGGCGCGTACTCAATTTTTATATGTTTGTAAGGTGGCATCATTTTGCCCTTTCAATTTAGTAGTGTGCACCATAGATCTTCTGTTAAGTTTGTTTATTGTATCATGAAACAACCATTAGGCCATAGTGTTTACCTGACTTTTGTTAAAAGTATGCAATTGTTTCTTACGGTAGGCTAGGATGTGTTTCTTGTTTGAATTATTATAAATGTGGACCTAGGGATCATAACAAACTACTCCGTAATGATTTAACTTTGGACTTGTTTGTATTAGTGGTTTGACTAACTTTTACTTGAGCTATTTATGTAGAAATGTTTGTTACTGCAGATATGTTTGGTAATGTTCTACTAATTGTAGTAATTAGTAGCTGTTACTAGCGTTTTAAACATGTAAAATGACCTACATGGTAAAAAGCTAAAACTATATTCCGAAAAAGACATTTGTTTAAGGGCAACAACAACCAACAAGGTCATTATAGTAAGCACCTCCCAAAAAGCCACATATTTGATGTTCTTTTTAAATGATCTTTTTAGATAGTTTTTGCTAATATGAAAGGTTGTGTACCAAAAATTAAAACTAGTTTTTTGACATGATCAAAGTCAACAAACAACTAATTCATACTCAAAAAGCTACAAGCTCTTAGATATATCATCGACCAAACAGGTCCGACATTTTGTTTTTGAACCACGTGCAAAAAGTGTGTTTGGGAATGTAGTTATGTCTGTTGCAGAACTGATTTTATAAGGCAAGTTTAGCTTGCAGGAGGAGGGTCATCCTTACGCTGCGGCAATGGAAGAAGCCATCAATGGCGTTTTAAGTATGGATTCAGCCTAGTCAAAGGGAAAGCAAATCATCCCATGGAGGATTACCATGTTGCCAAGTTTGTTCATGATTGTGGGAAGGAACTCGGACTTTTTGCAATTTATGATGGGCATTTAGGACACAATGTACCTGCATATCTGCAAAAGCATTTGTTTTCCAATATCTTGATTGAGGTTAGCCTTTAAAGAAAAGCCTAATTAAGCATTCAATACATTAGTATATAAGATCCCATGTAATAGGAGACATTATACTGGAAAAGTAGTTCAACAACATCAAACTTATTATAATCCCCATTCTGCTAGGGTCTTGGGGATCAACATATACGCAACCTTAGCCCTCTAAAATGCACAAAGAAGTTGTTTCAGTGAGACTTTTAATGCATTGCTGCATTTTAATGTCAAGACTTCATAGAAAGTAAGAATTAAGGGAAATTTAGCGTGCTTGTTTGATTTAGTCCATTACTTACCCGAAAATATAACATTGTCAAATATTTCATTTAAATACGTTGGGAAACTAGTTGAATGCTGGACAACCAATAGTTAGAAGATGAAAAGTAATAGCTGTTCATTTGGGTAGAAGTGTTTGATAAAACTAGTTGTTTGTAAAAAGATATAAAATAGCATTTCTTAGAATAGTACTCTATAAAGGTAAAGGATGGATAAATGAAAATTGTTTTTCATAAAAGAACAGGGTGATTTATTAATAAAGTGTTAGTAGTTTATTCCTCAGAACTGGTAACGGTTAAAGGGTAAGTGTTCATTCAAATAATGGCTTATTTTTATCTCTTATTGCATTCTCCAGGATGACTTCTGGACTGATACACAGAGAGCAATCTTTAAAGCATATGAGAAAACGGATCAGGCTATTCTGGACGATCCTAATCTTGGAAGAGGTGGGTCCACTGCAGTCACTGCCATTATAAAGGACATGAGGTTGTGGGTAGCTAACCTTGGGGATTCAAGAGCAGTCCTTTCACAACGAGGGGAGGCCATACAATTGTCAGTTGATCATGAACCTGAAATTGAGCGTGGCAGCATAGAAGATAGAGGTGGTTTTGTCTCAAACATGCCAGGTTTTGATAATCTCTTTCTTTCACGTCTTTCATGTTAAATTAGGCCTAACTCACCTTAAAAGGACCCTACTCTCACATTTATTCTCCAACTCAAACAAACCGATGGCAGATGCTCAATGCACCCATCTGCCGAGTGAAGGGGTGGGCATATGGCAACCCGGCCCAAAATACAGAGTATATTTCTTTTTTCATTTTTGTACTTAATTTATAACTCAACTCTACTTTCACTGTTTAATACCCGTATTGTATTAACTAGGAGAGGCCCAAAATGGGCTACCCAGGCCATCGACCTACTAGCACACCCTACCAGCCACCATCAAATCGGGCTTTGATTCTATGTTAAAATTACGCCTAACCCATCGAAAGGTGAGGTTTAGGATAAACTATAAAATCATCTCTGGGCCTATGACCATAAGCTTGAGTTTTTTGGTTGAGTTGGTTTCTTGACATACTTATCAGAGCATGCCACAAGTTGAAATCTCCCCCCGCCCCCGCCACCGACTTTCAAAAATTATAATGTTCACTTGCAAGGCTCAAGTAAACACCAAGCAGACTATAACTTCCTATGTGTACAAATGAATGGGAATAAAACCACCATATTGCTTGGGATGTCTCTATCTCAGGAGACGTTGCGAGAGTAAATGGACAACTTGCTGTTTCACGTGCTTTTGGAGACAAAAACTTGAAGTCTCACCTGCGGTCTGACCCAGACGTTGTCAACCTTGTGATCAGGGATGATTGGGATCTCCTCATCCTGGCAAGTGATGGCCTCTGGAAGGTGCACTCCTTGCTCTCACTCACCAATCACCATTAAAATTTTCTTCTTCTTCTTCTTCTTCTTCTTCTTGATTGACATCTCTCCTCCATATCTCAGGTGGTGAGTAATCAAGAGGCTGTTGATATTGCAATGAAGACCAAGAACCCAAAGAAGGCAGCGAAACTATTGGCCAATGAAGCATTGGAAAGAGACAGCAAAGATGATTTCTCCTGCATCGTCGTCCGGTTCAAGGGTAGGTCATAGATCAACATCCCCTCCTTTGTGCAGTATATATATATATAAACATTTATGTACACGTAATAATGTAACGGGCATTTAAAGAAAAGAGGCATGCGATTTCGGAGAATCAACAATGTGTGATCGGTAGTAGTGTAGTAGTATAATAATATTGTGGGTGTGGTGAATAGGTATTGATTTCTTCATTGTGTAGATCCTTCACATGATAGTATTCATGTTTGGTGAAAGGGATGATGACAAGCTTTTTCTTGGTATTTTTCCTATGTTTTGAAATCTCTCCATGTCTGTACCATAATGATTTGGGAGGATATCATATATGGATTATTTTAGTAATGAAAATTAGACTAGTTTACATCATCAATGATATTATACCATTTGCTAGAGTTTCATGTTTAATCTTTGAAGGAAAAAATATGTGGTAATAAGATCGTGTGTACTTAATTTTTTCAACTCAAAAGTATATTCTGATGGGAAAAAAATTATTTTGTATTACCAAACATATTTGCGATTGAAAACTATAAATGTTGAAGTCAAATTTAATCGTGGACCTTAGCTCCAGGGTACACCCACACATGAGCTGGGTTGATAAGCATTTTCTTAATGTTGAGAAAAATATTCTTATTTTTATTTTTAAAAAATACTTGAAAACAATTTTTATATGAAGAGGTCCACAATATTAATTATTGTGGACTTTATGTGCACCAAAGAAGTATTCGATATTCAAAATTTTATGACATTAAACATTAGTTCAAATCAAGTACGGAGTAATTATTTGGATTGAGTCCAAAAATGTAATATTTGAAATATGATAGTTAAAAAAATAAAGCTATTATGTACTTCGTAAATTATCTAATTTTTTATTTAAGGCATTTTTATTCTAATTATTTAAATAATCGTTTGATGTAAACAAATTATATTTTGTCATGAGTGCTTATTTGGTACACATTAGGTGCATATCATTTTTGAAGACCTTCTCACATAAATTTTTTTAAACAAATACTTATTTAAGTAGTAAAAAATATTTATTTTGCTCATATGTAAGTCCATAGTTGACCTTAAGTCCACCATAGAATTTGTGTTTTGTCATTTCTTGTAATAACAATATACACACACTTGCCCTTGAACTCATGCTATTCTTACACATGTTTATCAAAAGGGTGCTTTGTCATTTTTTAGGAAAAAAACTGAAATAGGACTAAAAATGAAAATAAAGCATTCGCATTTTTATTATCAAAATAGTATTTATAAACTGGTTAAAACTGTTTATAAATAGTTTTTAACTTGTAAGTCAGTTCATAACATGTTCTTGTGTGCTTATAAGTTGACTTATAAACTGTTTATAAGTTTTTTTTTTTGAAAAGAACATCAGAATACCATTAATTCAAATCAGAGTACAAAGTCTCATAAAGAAATGCTGGAGGGGCATGAATCCACTCCAAACAATCAGACTCAGAATCAGACGCTCTAGCCAACATATGAGCCACCTGATTCGCTGATCTTTTAACAACTGAAAGCGTGAGAGAAACAAAGTCTCGCATCACTATCTTACAATCAGAAATAATATCTAAGAAATAAGAATGTGAATGAGTTTCAATATCTTCTTGAATTGCTTTAAGTACTACCTCGCTGTCGATCTCGACACTTAGATTCATTTGTCCAACCGGCAACCTAAGCCACCTCAATGCCTCCCGGAGTCCCGTTGCTTCAGCCATTTGTGCATCTTCCAGCCGCCCTAGTCCGAAGTGAGCTCCTCGCAAAAAATTTCCTTGATCATCCTGCACCACCACTCCAACTCGGGCCACACTTGTACGTATGTTAAAGCTTGCATCCACATTGCACTTTAAGACCCCTCTCACCGGTGCTCTCCATTTATGCATCCGGTCCCCCGACCCCAATCGGGCTTCTAAGGACCCGGGGCGTGCTGCTTGCCACTCTTGTAGTCCTCGGATAGCTCTTTCCGCCACAAAGGTTATGCTCAAGCTTCTGTTCTTCCAAACAAGTTGATTCCGTTGTTGCCACGCCTCCCATAAAACCATACAAAGTTGTTGAACCCTTTCCTTTGTGAGTGTTCGGCGAACCTCCTCAAACCACTCAACCATACTCCCATACTGTCGTATGCTTACATAGCCCACTCTGCCCAGGCATGCTTGGGAAAAAGTGCAGCCTATTAAGCTGTGGATAGTGGTCTCCTGATCGGTGCAACATCTAGGACACACATCTGCCACCTCCACCTGACGCCTCCGAAGGTTGGCTCTTACAGGTAGGACGTCGTTGAGAGCTCGCCACATAAAGTTGCGAACTTTTGGCGGTACCTGCATTTTCCAAATAAACGCCCACATGTCGTTGTTTGTAGTTGTCCCTGACCACCTCTCTTCGTACATCATTCGGTAGCCATGTTTCACTGAATACAATCCTTTGAGGTCGTCTCTCCAGATCCATGCATCTTCTCGACTGTACAGGCCTAATGGAATACGTGATATCTCTTGGACTTCCTCCACGCTAAACAATGTCTGGAGTAAGTCCATATCCCATCTCCGAGTACCTGGATCGATAAAAGCCGACACCAAGACCTCGTTCAACTCCTCTGCAAGGCACGAACGAACATATGGGTCTTCCTTTCTCAAAAGCCAAGGTGTAGCCAGCAAGCTGTTTATAAGTTAGAAAAATAAATCCAGTAAGTTTTAACTACTTATTTTTTAAGCCAGTTTTTTCATTTCTCCGTTTTAACAAAATTATTTATCAAACTATCCTTCACCATTTGTACATAAATATTTCTAAATGACTTATTTATCATTTAAGTCATTTTGAAAAAAATATTTGACTTATAAACAAATTATAAGTTAAAAATTGCTAATCGGTTTTAACTAATACTCCCTCCGTCCCATTTTAAATTGCCTGTTTGCTTTTTTTCTCCGTCCCAAAATAAGTTTTCTGCTAGTTGTTTTCGTAAACTTTTAAAAATAAAGTACCTAAACTACCCCTAAAATAAGTCACACTTCTTCACCTTATCTTCTCATTCATCATCACCCCTCTTAAAAAGTAATGTCAATTTCGGAAAATCAACTCTATTTTTTATTTTCCTTAAATATGCCCAAAAGTCAAAACAGACGATTTAAATTGGGACGGAGGGAGTAAGTCGATAAACACAAACAAAGAAAAATACTTCCTATATCATCAAAAAAAATATGCGAAAAGCTAATATGTATGTGGCTATATTATCATAGTATAATCATCTTGTTTTATGAGAAAAACATGTTACATGTATTTATATTTTGAGATAATAGTAGTTATAGTTTATCTGTATTTTGAGTATTTTTTTTTTTTGAAATAGTGAGACTTTTGTGGAGTAAAAAACTTGGAAAACAAGTTAGGATCAAAAGCCGTCATTTCCAGTATTTTCCACGGAGTATGGCACAGACAACTTTTCCAACTTGGGATTTTCTCAAAAAACCTCCCTAAAACCCTTCAGAGAATCCCTAAATTCGCCGACAATTCACCTCTCTTTTCCGGCCATGACGAAGCCGTCGAAGCTCAACGTCTCCAACCCCAAGCTATTGGTTGCGATCGGCGTTGGCGTCGCCGGAGTCCTGATCGTTGCTGAGCTCCGGCGGCGGCGGCGGCTGAGAGCCAAAGACTCGATCAAAGAAGACTTTGGCGCCTTTATCGAACGCTTCGAGCTTCTTCCTTTTCCTCAGCCGCCTCCTCCCGCCGCTCGTCTTCCCCTTTCTGGTCTCACATTTGCCATCAAAGACAAGTCAGTCAATGATATCTGCCTACTAGTCGAAAATACATGAAATTAGTTTATTTTACTTGGTCTTATAGAGCTATAGGTGTTAAATAAACTAACTTTTGGTGTTTTTGTAGTATTGATGTAAAGGGGTACGTGACCGGGTTCGGAAGTGCAGAGTGGAAGAGGACGCATGAAGCTTCCGGAATGACTGCCATGGTTGTGACGGCTCTGCTGAAGGCTGGAGCTACCTGTGTTGGAAAGACAGTTATGGATGAGCTCGGTATTGGGTATGGTTTTCTCATTTATGTGCATCAAGGGCAGCATTTCCTAGATCTTTTGTCCACTATTTTGTGACATTTGGAATTATTGGACACTATCAAAGATAGCACCCAAGCCTATTAGCATTATCGACATAAATAAAGAAAAAAACTAACTTGAAATACTTTGTGGTTTTTTTTCTAAATTATTAATTTACCTTCATTCCTTACATTTGTGATACTTTGGGATGTGGATAACTAAATGCGGATGGAGAAATTATGTATTTTCTTTTCTTTCATTAAACTTTCGAGGCTGAATGAGAAAACTCAGCAATAATCTTTCACCATGCTCTCAGATTAACTGGAATGAATGCGCACTATGGAACTCCAACTAACCCAAAGTTGCTATCTCACATTCCTGGTGGCTCATCCAGCGGTTCAGCTGTTGCTGTTGCATCCAAACTTGTTGATTTTTCACTTGGTATGAATGGTTTGCATTCATTACAAGGATCTGTGATATGTGTAAAACATGTACTTGCAGAATGCAGATATCAGTTACTTTGCAAATCCCAATGTGCATATATAATAACCCAAATATACTTTTTTACTATTCCATGGGAAAAAGATTCAAATAAAGTCAACCAGGGTAAATTTTGTGGCTTGGAGAAAATGTCTTATTGATCATTGAGTATATAGTGTAGAGTTTATATGCTGTGATAATACGTTATTCAAATAAGTTGATGTTATTTTATACTGATGTGTGTTGCTATGTATTAGGTACTGATACCACTGGTTGTGTCAGATTGCCAGCATCGTTTTGTGGCATTATCGGGTTTAGGGCATCTCAAGGGGTTGTATCAGCTATTGGTGTTTTGCCAGTTTCCCAAAGTTTGGACACTATTGGTAAGTGAAGTGATGTCGCCATAATCTAATTGTGCTATTAAAATTTGGTGTCCAGATTTGTTTTTGGTCATACTCAGATACTTAGCGAGTCATGAATCTAATCAATATTTTCTTTCATGAATGGATATAATTAATGCTTCACATGTATCGATTTGGCTAGTTGCCTGCCTTTTTTAATGGGCATTTCAAACTTTTGGTTAAGTTGGAGTTGTGCTTACTGCATTATTAAATGTTTTCACACAATGAAAATATTTCTTTCCAGGTTGGTTTTCTCAGGACCCTTCAATTTTGCATAAAGTTGGACACACTTTACTTCAGCTCACTCCTTCTGAAACCAAGGGGAAGAGACGCTTTCTCGTAGCTGATGATCTTTTTCAACTGTCTAAGGTTCCCACACAGAAGACCATCTCAGTTGTCAACAGAGCAATAGGAAAATTGTCTGGCTGTAAGTTGCAGTACATTTTTAAGGATATCATGCTATCAATTTCATCCTCTTCCCTGAATTTTAGGCATGACTTATGGGCTTTTGGTGTATTATAACTTCTTAGAGCACATCGGTGTTCTTTCAATACAATATATCATAAGCATGACTAAAGTTATAAGTCACACTTCTTACTTGTTTTGGTAGCACAGACCAGGTGCCTCTTCACATCAATCTTGGAAAGTATATTGCTTCAAATGTTCCCAGTTTGAAAAGTTTTCAAGAAGAATCTATTCATCAGAACCAGGGAATATCAACTTTAAGAGTTCTCTCTACTGTGATGTCTCAACTGTTAAGGTACATTCTTATGTCTCCTTTGTATGATTGAGTGAAGCCGTAGAGAAACAATTTCAAAAACTCTGTTAGCATTTTGTACTATTTTATTTATCATCCTTGTTGTTTGTCTTTTTATTTGTAGGTTATTTCCAATTTCTTTATTACTTATCTTATTTCTTTCCTTTTTTAAAAAAAAAGTTGTGTCGGCTTTTAGTACTTTTTTTATACTTCATATTGAGTATATGGCAATGTGCATTATGCAAAATAGGTCTAAAATTTTAATCTTGTGATATGATTTTATTCCCCAGATACGAGTTCAAGACCAATTATGAAGAATGGATTAACGAAGTCAAACCCAAGCTTGCTTCTGATGTTGCTGATTGCATTTCTGCGGCCATTACCTCAATCCCTGAAAGCATCAAGCTTCTTTATAAGGTCAAGACTGAAATGCGAGCTGCTCTTCAGAGTCTCCTAAAGGTACTTGAAAAGATTTAAAGTTTTTACTCTTTCCTTTGTTGATTAGAGGTAGGGAAGAGAAGTTCTTGCTTGGTTTGTGCGCTATGTGGCTCCATAAACTTCGCATTCCCATCGAGTATGTTTTCTGGTTTGAGAAAAATAAGGTCGTAATGGGGTGATTGGAAAATTCTGTGCGGTTAGTATAGCTTCATAGTTGCATTTTATCAATGCATCCACTTTCAGTACCATTCTTTTCATCTGTTTTTTATATTGTTCGTGCCCCTTGATGAACCTTAAACTCATGGTGTGATTGCTCTGGAGTTAATTGGGGACTTTTGTTAATGCAAAATGCTCTGTATTGATTCTTTTACCTTTTGCTTTCTGCAAAGCGCTTAATAAGTTGCACTATCTGATTGGAATTTTCATTCCTTTATATTTTGAAGGATGATGGGATATTACTCATTCCCACAGTTGCAGACCCTCCATCAAAACTATCAAAGAAAGGTTTATCTACTGAAATTCGTCAAAGAACATATGCTTTGTTGAGCATTGCCAGTTTGTCAGGCTGCTGCCAGGTAGTTTATCTTTGGAACCTGGAAAATGATAGGGAGAGAAAATAGCAGGGGAAATTTGGAAAAGTTTAACAAGTGGCTCAAACTCAATAAATAAATTTTAGATAATTTATACGGAGTATAAATTTGTTTATATCCTTCTAATCATATAAGGACTAAGAAATCTAAATTTATCATATCTTTTAAAAGTTTTAATGAATTTTGATTTTCCTTCATACTTTCCAAGGTAAAAAAAAGAAAGAATTTTTTTTCTTGGTATTATCTTTCCTTCTCCTATCATTTTCGTGTTCCAAACATGGCCTTATTGTATCAATTTTCAGATCAATGTTTTAGTTTTTTTCTCTAAAAGTCCTACACACGTTACATATACAACTTTGTTCATGCTTTAAATTTCAGGCAGCTATCCCATTTGGAGAACATGAAAAATATCCTATCTCTGTGTCATTCATCGCATCTCACAGAAATGATAAATTTTTGCTGGATACTATCATGGATATGTTTTCCAAAATTCAAGAGGAAGTAAGCATGGTTCCAAACACATTACCGTTATCTGAAGATAGCATGGTTGACTCTGAAATTTTGAAAGAAAAGGTCCTGCTCTCTCATCTCTAATATTTTATCTGATGCTTGAGATATTAAAGATCACTACGAGGCTGAGCTTATGAGCTAAGTTTTTGAAGTATTTTTTTCATGCGCTATAGCATGATGGAATGCAATTCTCCTCTTGGTTCATGAAGCCGGTCCCAAGTAATTTTGGAATATTAGGCTCAATTTTTTGTTGTTGTTTTTGTTGTGATGGGCAAAAATAGGTCATGTTTGAGTAAGGTACACATTTTTTTTAATTCAACTCAATCAAGGTTTCAGCTTTTATAAGTCTTGGAAGGTCACTCATACAGTTATACGGCCCTTATACCCAAATGCCTTCTTTCCATTATTTGCTTGGCGCCTTGGCTTTACAAAACCAGACTTTTTGGGACAAGAGTCATGAAAGGTCACAAAACAAATTTTTTTGGGGAGATGGAGGGAGCTTTTATCTAAGTTTGCTTCCATTTTGGTCTTCTTTTCTTTTATATTGATCTCTTCTTGGTTGGGTTAATATTAACTCGGATTTTGGAATTTTCTACTTAAGTCTCGTTACTAGTATTGCAGGGAAATGCTGCATATAAGAATAAACAGTGGAATAAGGCTGTCAACTACTATACAGAAGCAATAAAATTAAATGAGATTAATTCAACTTACTATAGCAACAGGGCAGCTGCGTACTTGGAATTGGGACGGTATGATGTGTGCCTTTTACTTGGTGTTTAGTTTGTTTTCATTTCCTACTTTGAGGATGGTCTGCTAAGCTAAGCTCATGAATGTTTGCAGTTTCCAACAAGCTGTAAGTGACTGTACTAGTGCAATCTCTCTTGATAAAAAGGTAAATGAAAGCACTAATGTTTTAATTTTATTTCCTTTTGGACTGAACTCTCCGCATCTTGAATGGGTTTGACAATCTTTATTTCTTGATGTAGAATGTTAAGGCGTATTTAAGACGAGGCACAGCTAGGGAATCACTTCTTTTCTTTAATGAGGCTCTTCAAGGTGTGTACAAATGGTTTTTAATATTGTTTTCTTTTCCTGCCTGCCTCTCTTAGACTGTTCAGTGTAGTAAAAAGCACTAGGCTTCTGGGCTTAGTTTGTGGATGAATTAGACTTGGCCTGGATTTTAGTAGAACTGCATGGGGCCCAAGCATGGAGAAAACTTAGGTGCCCAAAAAGAGCCTAGCAATTTATGTTTTTTACCACATTGGACTCTGTTTATTCACATTGGTAATTATAAGAGTTCATTTTCTAATCATTGTCACCACTTAGGGCCGGTTTGGTAAGGGTAATTTGGCTGAATGTGATGTATTGTATCCAAGAAAAACGTTTGATCACATCCGTTTCTGCCGAACAAGTAAAAAACCACTTACCCTTACCAGAATTGGCCACCAAACAAAGCCCGAATGTCACACCATGTCTTTGACCTTTTTTTTACAAATTTAAAATCCTTGAATGGTTCATAGATTTTAAGCATGCACTTGTGCTGGAACCAAAGAATAAGTTAGCCCATCAAACAGAGCAGAGACTGAGGAAACTTGTAAGTTGAGTCTTCCTGCGTCTCAATAGCATTCAAGCATTGAACTTTACCAAGAAAAGCACACGGAGTCCAGAAGGAGAGAGTTTTGCTGACAGGAAGAATGATTCGTGGCGACATTATTAGGTACATAAAATGTTTCACATTCAGCACAGAAAGAGTCATATTGTAAATACAATGTTTTTTTTGTGCCTTGCTCACCTTCCCAATGTGGCATCTCCTTTTGTTTCTGAACTATGCTTAGTATGATTTTTGGCATGTGTTCGATACGAAAATGAAAACGAGTCAAGTTCCGAAATCAAAAGAAAGTTGCATCTAATTGTTATTGCCTTTTAGGGAACATGTTTTTATTATTTTCTAAAGTTTGCCCAAAGCTGTGTGCGGTAACTTTTTTTTTTAAAAAAAGTTGAGTTTGTATTGGGTGAAAAGTGAAAGAAAACAAATGCAATGAAAATGGCTTTGTTTTATTACTCGGTACATATTAGGGAGTACTACGTTGTAGATCTTCTCATATAAATTTTTATTTATCTAAAATAAATAAAAGAATGTTTATTTTAGTGACAAGAAAATGTTTATTTAACTTATATGAAGTCTTCCACAAAAAAAAACGTATATGAAGTCTAAAGGTAATATGAAGTCTTCTCCTTAGGTTTTGATTTTTGTTCAAGATTCTAAAATGCTAGACGGTAAAAAATAATGATTGGTCTTCATATCATATGACATTTATTTCAGTGTCACGTCAATTTTTCTTTTTCCTATCACGTTTTGGTGTAGGTCACATGATTCCTTTTATATCTTTTTTTATAATTTATTCTTCTTTACATCTATTTAAAAATTTTATATTCTATTTTGACTAAAATTATATGAACTAAAAATATAGTATGAATAATTCATTCAATACTTAAATATGTTTTGTCCATCCCCATTCCCGTCGGTGCATATTTGTTGCTTTTTATAATTGTCGAAAACTCCATAAAAGCATATCGTCAATAATTTCATGTTCAATAATTACGCATGATTAATTATTATTTTTTTCAAAAGTTCCAAGATAAAAAAAGTGAAAGAACAAGTGCACGAAAATGACCGTTGATTTACTCCTTTTGTAGTTTGATTATACCGAGTATTATTTTAAGTAAAATATGAATGGGTGGTTTTGAGTTTAGGGTTAAGAATCATTAGTTTTGTGGACAGAGCACTCTAGGTAATTAAATAAGAGTAATGTATTAATATATTATGTATTTGATACAATAACGTATAATAAGTATACCAAAAAATATAAAATAAAATGTATTTCATCTCATAATGCTACTATTATCAATTTGAATATTATTATTAATGTGTGATACAAAATATATTATATTGAGTAATAAAGATGTTCTTCTTTTTCAAAAAATAATAATAAAGATGTACTCCTTTTTAGTAGTGCATTTATTTTATTAAATATATTTGTAACCCACTATTTTTCTCCATAAAGTACATACGGAGGATTAATAGTATTGATGTTTTTATTTTTATTATATATTGTTTGTTAGCCCTAACGAAAAGGAAAAAAAAATTAAACTACATATTTTTTATTTTATTAAGAAAGTAAAGAAATATTTCAAATGATATTTTTACTTGAGAAAGACTGAAAATAAAGGTGTGACAATTATTAATTCAAATCAAGCATTAAATAATGTACCAGGTTTCAAAAAAAATAATGTTCCAGTTTTCATAATAATAATAATAATAATAATAATAATAATAATAATAATAATAATAATAATAATAATAATAATAATAATAATAATAATAATGTGCCATATCGAGCGTATGATATGTTTTGTAGATGGGCAAATTTTGTTTACACTTTAAAAACAAAACGAATTTTAACCGTTTCACATCCGTTTCTCAAATTCATAAGCGCTTTGTGGAAAACGGTGGGAAATAATTTCTGGAAATTTTCGGCGTAGCGATCAGAAGCGAAATCCGTCCATCAATGAGATATTCGAGGCTTCTGTGCAGTATGGGAAGAACGGGCTTGAGGGAGACGACGGGCAAGGCGGCGGAATCCACGAATCACGGCAAAATTGGCCGGTACCTAAGCTTCACGGCGTACAGAGATTGGTGTTACCGTTACTTCTTCGCGTTTTCCGGCCTCCGATCCGTCGAGACCGATTTCGGCGACGGGACGAAGATGCATTGCTGGATCCCCAAGGCCCGGAAGGAATCCAAGCCGAACCTCCTCCTCTTGCACGGCTTCGGAGCCAACGCGATGTGGCAGTACGGCGACGTCCTCCGCCACTTCATCCCCCGGTTCAACGTCTACGTTCCGGATCTGCTCTTCTTCGGCGGATCCTCCACCACGCGGCCGGAGAGGACGGAGGAGTTCCAGGCGGCGTGCGTGAAGAGATTGATGGAGGCGAATGGGGTGGAGAGGATGAGCCTGGTGGGGATCAGCTACGGCGGATTTGTAGGGTACAGCATCGCGGCGCAATTTCCGGAGGCGGTTGAGAGGGTGGTTCTGTGCTGCGCTGGGGTTTGTTTGGAGGAGAAGGATATGGAGGACGGGCTGTTTCAGGTGGCGAATTTGGATGAGGCTGCCGACATTCTGCTGCCGCAGACGCCTGAGAAGCTCAGGGAATTGATGCGCTTCTCCTTCGTTAAGCCGGTCAAAGTTGTCCCCACATACTTCCTCACAGATTTCATTGATGTGAGTTTACTGCTCTTAACTCTCAATTTCCTCTGCTAAATCAACAATTTCATTTTTGTTACTCCTAGAACTTTATGGTTCGTTTAAGGAGAACTATGAACAACACAGACGATTTGTGAAGGCCTAAAATCGTTGTATTGTCGTGACTCGTGAGTGTAAAAAATGATGTTTTTTTACTTGTTCACTCATGGTGTTGGTTTTTAATGTGACAGGTGATGTGTACTGATTTTGTAGAAGAGAAAAGACAGCTTATCCATGCCATTCTTCAAGGCAGACAGCTCTCTAATCTTCCCAAGATCACACAGGTTATTTTGATTGCATTTTCTTTGAAATTATTACTTCTATGAAGTGCATATCTATGATTGGATTTGTTGAAATTTTAACAGACTAACATGTATGACTGAAACCATTAAATGAGTTTTCCACTCTAGTAAAATATAAGCTTTGTTATTAAAAAGTTTAAAGAAAATGCTCTGCATTACCCGAAACGAAAAGTAGACAATGTCTTCATTATCCATCGATTAGCCAAGCACAACCAAATACAAAGTAAATTATTTTTTATGGAAAAATTATGGCTTATAATCATGGAGTCGTTCTACCAAACAGACACTGTAGTTTCATAAGATCAAGTTTTTTTTCATTCATATCCGGTGTAAGAACTAAGAAGTTTGACATTGGCGCATCGGGCACAACCTTTGCATTCAAATTTCATAGTATTTGATTTATTTCTGCTCTTCAAAATTAACAGAGGACATTGATAATATGGGGAGAGCAGGACAGGATCTTTCCACTGGAATTGGGCTATAGGCTTCAAAGGTGACATTCATTTTTCATTTTAAAAACAGCAATGTCACACTTCGTACAGTATTTCTTTCTTTAACATACTACACATATTTCCATTTTATTAACGTGTAGTATGTTTCCTTTCTTGAAAATTAACAGGCACATTGGAGAAACGGCCGAAATAGTAGTAATAAAGAATGCTGGGCATGCTGTTAACCTGGAGAAGACAAATGAGATTGTCAAACACTTGAAGGCATTTCTCTTTGATTCATTGTCTCCTTCACAATGATGATTAAATTAAACCCAATACCTATAACGGTATAACCTTTTCTAAATTTTGTTGTATTCTCTTGATCCTGTAACTGAGTGTGATTCATCATACAAAATGGTCATAAACTGAGTTATCTATTTATGTATTCATGGCATTGATATTCAATGGCGATAAATATGAAATGCCATTTTTATTTGGGAAAATCATGTATTTAACAACTTATATAGTTGTATTTATTTAAGCTAGCAAAAGTCATCATAACCACATGTGAAGTTTAAGAGTACACCTAGAGAATAATCATAATTTATTACTTGATCAAGCAATGTGTATTGTCCAAACTCATCTTTCTTGTGCACATTAATGGCCTTGCCACAGTTACAGATTCAACTTCTGGTTGATGTCGAAGTCGTGGGAAGTTGATAAAACAGGATCCTGCCCAATGAACCACCACGTATCAAAAAATAGAATAGTATGTCGTCTTTTTAGTGTAATGACTATTATTATTATTTAGCCTAAACATTGCAGTTACAAATTAATTATTCTCCATAACCCCTTCACCTCCCCATACTTTGAGGATACAAGCATCCCAAATCTTAAATTAGAGATAGAGGGCATTTGTGACTTCTCTAACTTCTTGGAAATCGCTTTAATTACTCCGTACAACTTTTGGTACTCTTATTCACATTTAGTGCTAGTGTTAGAGTTGGTCCTAGTGCATGGGTGGTGTTAGGTGGAGCATAGTCAATATTAGGCGGCGTTAATTCAGGGGGGAAAACTCCCTTCGGCTACCAAGGCTAGCCTAGCGTCTAGGCTGGAATTTTTTGAAAAAAGCTCTTATGGAGAAAGCCGAATACCTACCTGTACCAACTTGCGGTAGAAGGGATTGATGGAAGGCAAGCATCCTATTCCCACATTGGCAGATTTGATTGACTGGTGCATGTAATTCATCAACCCACTGTATGTTATGTTTGGATTATCCTTTATTGCTTTTATGAATGTGTATGTCATTGCCCCATTCATATCTTTCCCTGCAGAAAAAGCCTGCATAAAAAAAGTTAGACAGGCGTTAATTCAGACGAAGATGAGCTGACAAAAGAGCAAATGAAAGGAGCGAAGATGAAATATATAATATAAGGAGTATTACAGAAGTATCTGCAGCCAATTGATGATCCTCACAAGCACTAAAACATATTGCCTTTCCACCATTTGTACCCTTGTAAGTGCGGCTTGGAGGTTCGTTATTAATCCATCTCTTCCTGTTTTTCATAAAACAAACAAATAAAACGCGCCTCAGGACCTGTTTGGATGGAGGGTTTGGAGAGGTTGGAAAGGGAGAGTTTTAGATGACTAAGTATACGGAGGTGTTCCCATGACATTAGAACTCCATGCCATGCCTATTATGTTATTCCTTAAACTCTATATATTGATTCTTAAATGAACACAGAGTATATCAATTATAAACTATAGATTTAAGGTAATTGAACTTGTGTCTCTAGATCATGCTGAAAATAAAGGGTGAGAAACAGGCTATAGTGTTTATACTCTTTGCGGTTGTAAATGCGCGGCAAATCAAGAATGGTCCCACTGTGGCACGCGTCCACAATGGCATGGAGTTTGGTTCCTTCTCTCAGTGGCTTAACGATGATATCATTGATGGCGTTGTCCGGGATCATGCCTTCGCTCTTGAAGTCAAGAGGACAGATGGTTTCGTCGAATCCATCGATCTCATCTCCCTCAAGTTCAGGCTGTCTCAATCCATGTCCCGAGAAGTAAAACAGCAGCGAGTCCCCTGTCCTCAAGTTCCTCATCAGCCACTTGAACCCCTCTAGTATGTTCTTCCTTGTTGGAGCCCTGTAGAGCTCTTCCTCTGCAAGTTAGGCATCTCTTGTATTGATCATGTCACTCAAGAAATATAATATTCTTCAAAAAAGTTTCACTAAACCATTTAATTGTATTAATATGCAATGTGATTTGTATCTAAGTGATGATAAAGGCTGTATCTAACAATTTGTTTTTTTATTTTGAATGATTTCAGAATTTCTTCTCCATTATACCTGCAAGAATGAGAATGGAAGAGGGCTGAAATCCAAAGCGTTCAACGAGCAAATCCCTCATGTTCTTCACGTCTTGCAGAGTTCCTCTCAGCTTGAATCTCTCCTTCTGGTAAGTCACTCCACAGAGAAGCGCTCTCTTCCCAGACGGCGATCCATCTTCAATGCTTATCGATATGCTTGGCCTAAAGCTTGGCCAGAAAGGTTTGGGGCTTCCTGATGACGAACTCTTCTTCCTCAGGATACTCCCAAGTTTTCTTCTCCCAGAACTGGTGCTGCCTGCTTGTCCTTGAGCATCACCCAGCAGTGAAATGGAACTCTGACATTTTCTGCAGTAAGGTCCTCCGCCGCCACCATGGTGTGGGCCCACCAGCTCCTTCTCGCATCTCCGGCAAGCCTCCATTGCAACAGCTTAGTAGCTGTCAGTCTTTGGTAGAAACCTATATTGATTGCCCTTTGGTCAATCAAGATTCTTCAACCAGCCTTGTTGATGAAGATCATAAAAAGTGTCCATTCATGAAGAAGTTGGAATGAATATCTACACACAAGAGGCCAAGTGTGAAAGTGTGAGGAACCAGATGCTGACATTGATGTTTGGTGGGATGAGAAAAAGGAACAATTACAACTTTATTTTGTTCTAAGCATCCCCAGGCAACATGCAAATCATAAATTTGAAAATTTTATCCAATAATTGATTTTAGGTTTAACATGTTTAAAACACTCATCTTCCCAAAACTTTAATGCTGATTAAAAATGTTCTCAGATGGAGTAATATATTAAAGTTGAATGAACGTAGACATGACATTTATCTATATTTATTTAATTTTTCGTGTATTATAAAAGTCATAATAATGATCACTTCAATGAGAATATAGAGAATAATAAAACAATCACGTACAAGAACAGTTCACAGTCAGTTCCAGGAATCAAAGAACATAGATCTCAATCAAATACAACCAATTTCTTTAACGAATGGGTGACACCACTAGATACAATCACGTACAAGAACAGTTGACAGTCAGTGTAAACGCGGGCGGGTGTCAACCTTGGTGTTTTTGTCAAATTTCTCTGCTCGAAAGAATCGAATCGACGAGAGACTCGGCGTCTTTGCACACTCTTCTCCAGCCAGCCAACTTCACACCATACTCAAGACTCAACTTCTGCAACCTCTTCATGTCCCCTTCTTCCACTTCACTCAGCTCAACTGCTTGCTTCCTAGAGATCAATGCATAGAGATAAAGGGAACAACCGGCAATGGCTTCACCATCGCCATGAATTGCCACCCGAAGCAAAGAACCCGACCCGGGTTCAGTTGATTTCGGATCGTACAACACCGAGAAGCAGCTGAAACTCAGGTCGGGATTCTCAAATAGCCGGCCCATGTCATCGCTTTCCGGCGAGCTATTGTTGTTGTTCGTTTTATCCGTGGAATCTACGGACGCCCGGGTGGCGATCCGGAGTATGTGCGCGGCCTCCCTCATTCCGCTCAGGAAGGCCCCGTGCATCGTGGCGGGATACTGCCTGTTCGTTGCTTCTCCAGCAAAGAACAGTCTGCCCGCCACGCTCTCGGCTAAGATGTCGTAGTCGTCCCCTGAGGAACCGATCGCAACGTACGAGTACGAGCCGTGCGAGAACTTGTCCTGGCCCCACCGGGTGCACACCGCCTGGATCGGGTCGGGGACCGCGATCCCTTTCGGGCCGAAGATTCCCCTGAGAATGTCCAAGACCCTCCCGACGGCTTCCAACGGGGACATCCTTTCGAACCCTATCGCTGCCTCCCCGGCGACGAGCGCCACGAGGAGCGGCCCCCCCGAGACGGCGGAGTAGCTATAGAACAAGAAGAACTCGCCCCTCATGGACGGGTCCTCGTTCAGGTGCCCGAACGTGTCGATCTCCCCGCCCCAAAAGTCGTACGGGAACAAGATTGCAACTTTGTTCAACAAACCGTACCCCAACCTCTCGATCGCCTCTCTCTTCTTCGCCGGAAGCTCGGGGACGAATTCAATGGTGCCCTTCTTGAGGACACCCAAGGGCACGGTGCAAAGAACCATATCCGCGCGGTACTCTTGGCTCCCCGCGTAGACCAAAACCCCATCAACGCCGTACCTAACGCTCTCCACGGGGCGCTCGTAAACCACGGGAACGTCCTCGGCCAACGCCCTCACCAACCTCTCGTTCCCTCCGGGGATGAAGCAGTGGTCCCCACCCATCTCGTAAGGGTCGTCTTGATCCCAAAAGGCCAAGGACAGTTCGGACATGAGCGAAGCGTTTGCGTACTCCAAATTGGCCAAGTGCCAGTCTAAGAGCATTCGTTCTTGGGGGTCTTCCGCGATGCGATAAACACTCCTAAAAGTCTCTAGAGCAGTGCCTAAGGACACATCAATTGACTTAACTTCTACCATCATTGCCTCTCTTAGCTTACACACTCTGTCTAGCAGTTTATTGAATGAGGTTTCAACCATGGAATCCGTGTCGGAATTCACGGTTTTACCATTGGGTAAATACAGAGGGCAGATGTCCCTGACCTTGTGAAGGGGAAGGCCGAGTTGTCTGGCCAGAACTCCCAATGGGTTGCCATTGATTCCGGTGAGCACGCTGCCGCCTAAATCTGCCGCTGCAGTGACCCCATTCTGACCACCACTCATCTTCTTCGATCTCACTCTGCCCCCTGGTCTTGTTCTTCCTTCCAGAACCACCACCTTAAACCCTAGAAATATCAGTTGTCTTGCTGCAACAAGGCCGGAGATTCCTGCGCCGATGACTACTACAGTGCCCTTACAGCCACCCTCAGGCGGCTTCAGTTTGGTTTCCTTGATAGCCGGAGCTAGTCCGAAGTTGATGTAGCCATGGTGGAGCAGGAAGGTGTAGGCGGAATTGACGAGGTTCTTGTGTTCCGCTCTGATTGACTCCAGGGCGTGGTCTTTGGTGAGCCAGACGGAGACATTGGAGCGCCACCGTGCGAGGATGTGGTTGCGGACGACGATGTAATTTGCCTGCTCGTCGCCGCCGATTTGGGACACCACATTGGCTTCGATTTCCTCCTCGGTGAGGGAATCGACCGGGAAACCGACGGAGATTGCAATTAGGGCTTCGATGTCCACCTCTTTAGCCAGGTCGGAAACTCTCTTCCGGCGGTGA